GCGATTTTTTAATCCAGTTTCGATACAATAATATGAAAGAAAAGCACCACGCAGAACAAATAATAGCAACCAAAAAGAGCATAAAAAGAAAGGAAGAGGTATTCAAAATATTGCTTTTTAAAGAAAGACTGTAAGAGCCAAAAATACCGGCAGCGAATCCACCGATCCCATTGTATACGCCGTTAAATATTGCTTGGCAGGTGCTTTCTTTACCTTTAAGAGATAACTTGCTAGCGAGGGCAACACATGCTGGGTGAAACAACCCGCAAATAACACCTAGACTAAGCTCAATTAACACAAATACTTCATATCTGGACGACGATGGCACAAAAAACAGCGTCCATAACCTGGCCACCATTATTATTTGGCCTAAAGCAATCATTGGATAAACGCCAAGCGTCCTTAATAAAGCTGCGCCCACTGAATAGAAGAGCATTTCAACAACTATTGCAAAAGAAATCGTAGCGGATGCCTCTCTCGGGGACATGCCAACTTCGTCTGTGAAATAAAAGTTCAGAAAAAAGCCCAAAGAAAACCGAGTGAATCCATCTAAGAAAAGAGTTAACAGATATATTTGGTATGCAGAAAGGCAGAACAGAGCTTTAATGCCACATGGGCGATCGGGAAATTCAACTGGAAATATAGCCTCATGACGCGTAGAAAGCGAGGGTTTTTCTTGCGCTTTGGAGGTACTAGCATTTTTATTACTACGCCATATAAGGTCGAAAATCCCAAAATGCCATAGGAGGAGATAAATGGTAAACGAAGGACAAATAACTGAAATGCCAAGCATAAGTCCCTTGGTGTATCCGAGAACGGTAACAAGATGGCCAATCCCCAATGTGACAACAAAATAGCCCAAATTTCCAAATAGCCTTTGAGAGGAAAAATGATCTTTCGAATAGTTCATGCGAGAAAGCGTCTGCAGAATGATGCGGTCAACAAGCGGCCACATCGCACCTGCAAGCAAAGCATACAAACACATCAAGAGAACAGCTTGTAAATGATGAGCGGAGAAATATTCGTGAAATACGAGAATAAACCCAAATGCAGCTGAAGATAACACGGAAAGCGCAAGTAGCAAGGCTGTATGGATCTTGAATTTATCCGCAACCAAAGAAACCAAGATGTTTGTGCAAACTCCGAGCAAACTGGAACATGCTGCAAATACGCCGAAAGAGCTCTCATTTATTTTGAGGACATGTTTAAAGTATTGTCCACGGAAAAAATAGCAGACAAAAAATAAAAGGCCGAAAAGAAAATAAAAGACCTTGAGAAAAACGAGCCTCGACATGAAAACCGTGCGCACAAATAGCCGGCTATTTGTAAATTTTAATGAATTAGAGTTTTGAAAACTTTATATGACAATTCATTTGCTATGCAGCGAGTTACTTCTTAAAATTGTCTCTTATATCAACGACCCACGAGATTTAGTAAAAAATCGTGTTTTTATATAAGCTAGTTTTTATTACTCTCCACTACAGCTTTCTCCGTATTTTTTCGTATGGAATTTCATGGTTTACCATTGCCACGAGATTTAGAGGCTACATATGTTCTTTTGACGCCAACTATTCTTGGTATCAAGAGTTTCTACTGATATCTGGGTTTGAAAAAAAGATAAGCTGCTCTCAAGGCTCAAATGCACTGTGCATTGATCTCAGGCATTCTCATGTTACACAGAATTTCCTGCCCTCTTCTCCATCAAGCAATTTTTGCTTCGCACCAAATACGTCTATCCTAATCTATCCGGGGATTCTGAAAAACAATGGGGCCAAGTGCTTCAGATGTCTTAACTATTTGACGATGGAGAGCCTAGTTTTTTTGGATTCTCAATTTGATTCATTTGCACTAAGACCAGATGGTTTTTTGGCCCTTGTTCGTCAATTTAAATTAAGTTTATACAAGCCGCTTTATGAAAACTTGCGGCCATCAGATGTTATTTCATTTAAAAATCTCTATAGACTTGTATCGCATTTTGAGCTTGATAAAGTTGACCCGACGCTATCTAGCTGTGCGACGCCTCCGGGCTCTGAAATTTGCGCCATTTCATGGGATTTTTCTTCATACAGCAAATCTATTTTAAAAGTAACTTTGGTTTCCGGATCGGAACACTATTTGAATGTAAATTTGAAGCCAATACACTTATCAGTTGCATTGAAGTCCAGCAACTTTTGTACGTATTTAGATCCCTAATATTAGCATGCTCTAATGAGCACTATGTGATCCAGTACTTTCAAGAAGAAAATACTTTGAAAATAACCTCAATGCTTGATGCTGGCTCTTATTTGATTAGAAATGTTGATTGCATTTGCTCCTTATCTTTGCTATTTCGGGATAGCGGAAAATCGTCAACTTATGTATATTTTTTATCTTATACTCCAACAAAGGGGTCTAGGATCTTCATTCTTCAATTAGTTGAATCACTATCTAATGGTGTCAAGTTTGTACTGTATCATCTCGATTCTATTGCTCAGATATTAAAGTACAGTTCTCTTCCCGCTGTTGGGAGAAATGTTTTCAACTTTCCTGACAAAGTCAACCCAACTTATGGACTTAAAACTCGCTCAATCGGTACCTCTATAGAGCATGTTAGCGGCACAGAGGTTAATTTAGCCGTCTCCTTTGCAGAAAACATCTTGATATTTAAAGGGATCAGCTCGGAGAGGCTCAATTTGAAAGCAGCATCGTTTGAGATGTACTTTGTCATTGTCTAATTTTAGGATATGCCTCAAACTCGATTCTAGCATTTATTGCGACCAAGTTTTTTTGGCAAGTAATTACGTTGCCGTGCTTTTGTAACATTTTTGCATAATGCGTAGAAACTCTGGGCTTCTAAATATTTACAGTAGTTTTGATGGGAAACCTCTCTGTTCCATTCGTGTTTGGTAACGTCCCAAGTTTTTACAATTTAGCAACCCAAATAGAGTGTCTCCTAATTGTAGATTTGAGATTCACAACTCCATTTTGGTATTTTACGATGTTTTAAATCCCGATTTTTTCAAGATTTGGATGCTTCATGGGAAAGCAGACGATGTCCGTGCATGTCCACGAGGGCGTCTAGCTAAGCCACAAAGGCTGTCCAATGCATTTAGGAACTTGCAAAAGGAACATAGGCAAATGATCGATGATTTTGACAATTCCGCTTCCCCAATTTTATCAGGGGAGGAAAATAGCTCTCCACAAGAGGATCTGGACACCGTTTCTGATGAATACGGCGACCATTTTAGTGATGATGGCGACTCCATAACTTTTGCATTGAATTTATCCATAAATGAATTTTAATTCTTAAATATTATTAGCTCGTACTCTCAACTTTAATTAATTTTTTTAATCCTATGGATGCTCCGTTTGTTGGCACGAAAATTTATGTTGCTGTAATTCTGCTGGTCGTCACGGTCGTTTCAACATTTTCCCCTTGGATCCTTAAAAGGCATTACGGCTCCAACACCTCAACAGCCAGATTTATGTCATACTGTAATTGCCTCGCTGGCGGGACTGTGTTGGGCGTTATGTTGATGCATGTTTTTCCAAATCTCATAATGATAGAAGATTTCCTTTCAAAGGGCCAGTTTTATCCCATCATTGCAATGTTTTCGGCCGGAAGTTCTTTCTTGGTGTTATTTGCAATTGACAGGCTCTTCACGTTCCAATGTCCCACTCATATACATGCAGATAGCGAGAATTTCAAGGAGCAGCTGCCTGTTAGTAATCCTCGAAAGCAAGACCCATTCACTTCAAGTGGATTAAGATCCAAAACAAGCGCCATGTCCATGATACTTGCGCTGTCTCTGCATTCGTTTTTGGAAGGCCTTGGTCTTGGGCCCATTAAGATGCAAACAGAGCTATTTTCCTATACCGTTGGATTATTTTCTCATAAATGGCTCGAGGCATTTGCCCTCGGCGTTAACGTTCTTAATGCAAACTTTTCGCTGACAACGGCAATTTTCTTGAATTTTTTTTATGCCCTGCTAACACCACTAGGTTAGTGTGCTATCCTCACTTTTAGGTATCCTCATTGGAATGGCCCTAGTAAATGGTGCCTTTTCCTCCTTCTCAACGATAATGATAAGCTGTGTCATAAATGGCCTCTCCATCGGCTCGTTTTTGTTTGTATGCTGTATTGAAATGATTCCTCCCGAATTTACTGTAATTGATAGACATATTTATCCGAAATATTCGCTGGTTTGCCTTGGCTTTTTAATGATGTCCTTGGTTGCCTTCTTTGAGTAATTAGGTAGCGCCCCAGATTTTAATGTTTTTAATAAATTTACATCTTCAAAATGTCGGACCTAACCTCCCTTATCCAATTAGCTGCTATTTCTTACAAATCGGGGGATTTTCAAAGCGCCACGGAGCACCTTTCAGCATGCTTAAAGCTCTCCACAAACGGAAAAGAGATCGATCAATTGACTCCCAACGACAATCTTTCTATGATTGCCTATCTCCATCTGAAATACGGACAAGCCTTGCTTGAACTTGCCAGGGAAAATGGAAATGTATTGGGAGAGTCCGTTGTATCGAAACAGGCAACAAGCACAAGTAATTATGTAAATACTGCAGATGAGGAGGTGATGAGCGAGTCAGATGAAAGCTGCGATATGGATTCTTCTAAAGATGATTCGGAGGGCATGGACACCGGCACCGTTGATCTGTCTATCTGCGTTGACGATAAGGCTCGGAATGCTTTGCAAATTGCAAACGATATTTGCGATGATCTGCAATTAGCCTGGGAGGCCTTGGACACGTCAAGAATCTTATACCAGCGAATATCTTCTGAAAGGGCCAGTATTGCTCTTATAGATGTCTATGAATCACTCTCTGAGGTATGTATAGAGTCTGAAAATTGGAACCATGCTCACGAAAATCTTAAATCGGCCTTGGACATATTGATTTCAAATACCTCTATTTCGGGGTCCAAAAGATTTATGGCCGAAATTCACTTTAAAATGGCCCTTGTTTCCGAATATTCGTCCGATTTTGATGCTGCAGTTACGTTTTTATCAGACTCAAAAGCAACGCTCATGAAACATTTGGAAGAGTCTCTTGATGTCGATGAAAAATCGGAGCTGGAAGACATAATTTCAGACATCGATTCAAAGGTAAGAGGCTTGGAATTTTATTTTTCAAGATTGAAGAGCTGAGGCTTGCAAAAAAATCCTTTTGCTCCGAGTTATCACAGCATCAAGTGACCACTGGTAGCGACAGTAATGCCCTAGCGCTTCCAATTAACGATATCAGCAGTTTGGTCAAAAAGGCATCGACCAGCTATTTGGAGATACCTCTTCAAACTTCCAAGGTCTTACCTGGGCCTAATAGTGAAAATAATAGGGCGAACTATTGAGGCAGCAGGTGGTTTAAATAAAATTTTATTTGATATCGTAATTACTGCCTGGACGGCGTTATGGTAGAGGGTGCTGAAGAAGACTTTAACGCATTCTTGAAAAATCCCATAAAGCCGCCACTCCCATCTGACGAAGAGGACTTGGTTACAGAATTGGAACCTTCTGCAACGGTATTTTCGAAACTTTCATGCTCCATTTGACTTTTTTTGTATTGTGATCCTTTTTTTCCTTTACCCAAATCCACAGCATGGGTCTTGGGAGATCTTGACGTAAACGTTGAAGTATCGTAGAATGTATCCGTTATTGTGGATAGGGAATGTCCCTGCGTCTTGGACTTT